AAAAAAAAAAAAAACACCAAACCCTACTCAAATTCTGAAGGAGAGTACTGTGTTCTGATCTATACTTTGAGAAAATTACTAACAAGAGTAAGAAGAGGTTGGAAAAATAAGCTAGGAAAATGGTTACAAAGCTTCTGTAGGAGTCTATGGGGAGAAAGACGTAAGATAACAGAAATGGAAAAGTTGAGTTGTTACCTTGTTAGAGGAGGAGTTAGAAGATAATGATACTTTTTCTGGGCTCTTAGATTTTTCTGCTTTCCCAGGCTTTTCTGTAGGCTCTTTACTGTCACTTGAAGACTTCTGAGATTTATCAAAGATGTTAATTCCCAAGATTTGAGCCACTTTGTCCAGTTCAGATTGCTTCTTTTCTGCCTCTTCTGCCTCTTGTCGGAGCTCTGCAATGTCCTTCATAATGTTATCCTGAAGCCGACTCACCTCCACCAGCAGCGGGTCTTTGTGGCCATCCTTCTCCCTTCGTTTCTTGCGTAGCATTTCCCCTGCATAGTCAAATGTCAACAAAAAGAAACAGAAAAAATAAGTTAAGATGAGTAATTTTCATTTGTAAATAGTAATCCATCAGGGTTTTATGGTTACAAAATCTTTTCCCATGAAAGTTTCTAAGAGCAAGTTAAGATTTTCCTACATGGGCTCGTATAAGTGAAGCTTTTATGAAGGTAAAGAGGAATAATTATCTTTTATGTAAGGGTTATTAGCTTAGGATCTACGGACAGGCTTCACAGGCTCTGTAAACTTCCGTAATAATATATACAAGTTTGTGTATGTGTCTGTCCCGAAAAGGTTAATAAATGCTATAACTATGAATCTAGCTGCTGTTTCCTTTTTAGGTAGCCAAACAATTATTTAGAGGATAAAAACCACTTAAAGTCATACATTTAACTTTGTCTGATTTAAGGGCACCTTAATTTGTCCTTTTTCTTTTTTGAGACAAAAGTCTTATTCTACTGTCTAGAGTGCTGTGGCATCAGCCCAGCTCACAGCAACGTTAACCTTCCTGGGCTCAAGTGATCTTTCCGCCTCGGCCTCCTGAGTAGTTGGGACTACAGGTACCTACTTCAATGCCCAGCTACTTTAACAACTTCTATGTTGAGTTTTAGGTTTTGCCTCAGACTCACCCAATTTTATCTTCTAGTCTAAATTCCAAGTCCTCATATTAATTATCACAAGATACATAATTTTTCTTCTATGAACATGTCCAAATCCAGACTTTTTAACTAAATTTATCATCCTTAAACTGTCCAAACCCAGACAAAAGCAATTATCTTCTCCTACTCTGTTCTTTCATACTAATCACCAAGCTTCAGTATTCAGAAGTCTTGTGATTCTTTCCTCATTGTGTATATAAATTCCTAAAAGCACAGATGTAGAGATGGAATAAAAAGTGAGGTAGCATAGGGTGGCTCTGGCCCCATATACCAGAGGTGGCGGGTTCAAACCCGGCCCCGGCCAAAAACTGCAAAAAAAGAAAAAAAAGAAGGCAGCATAACAGCTGTGGCACCCACCACAATACCCAGCTGTTATGCTGCCTTACTTTTTTGGGAGGCTGAGGCAAGACAACCGCTTGAGCCCAAGAGTTTGAGGTTGCTGTGAGCTATGATGCCATAGTACTCTACTGAAGGTGACAAAAAAATAAGGCAGCATCCAAACATCTTTTCTGTGTCAAAAAAGTAAAGAAATACTAAAAGAAATGATGGGGCCACATTAAAAGGACATAGGGGCTCGGCACCTGTGGCTCAAGTGGCTAAGGCGCCAGCCACCTACACCTAAGGTAGCGGGTTCAAATCCAGCCAGGGCCCACCAAACAACAATGATGGTCGCAACCAAAAAAATAGCCAGGCGTTGTGGCGGGCATCCATGGTCCCAGCTACTTGGTAGGCAGAGGCAGGAGACTCGCTTGAGCCCAGGAGTTGGAGGTTGCTGTGAGCTGTGATGCCACAACACTCTACCCAGGGGGACAGCTTGAGGCTCTGTCTCAATAAATAAATAAATAAATAAATAAAAGGACATAGGGGCTCCCACTGGCCAAACCTGGACCAATCTGAGCATGAAATAAGTAATTATAATAAACAATTGCTGGGCGTGGTGGCTCATGCCTATAATCCTAGCACTCTGGGAGGCCGAGGCATGTGGATTGCCTGAGCTCACTGGTTCAAGACTAGCCTGAGCAAGATCAAGAACCCTGTCTCTAAAAATAGCTAGGCGTTGGCTGGGCGCAGTGGCTCACGCCTATAATCCGAGCACTCTGGGAGGCTGAGGTGGGTTGATTGCTTCAGCTCATGAGTTCAAGACCAGCTTGAGCAAAAGTGAGACCCTATCTCTACTAAAAAATAGAAAAAACTGAGGCATGGGTGGCGCCTATGGCTCAGTGAGTAGGGCGCCGCCCCAGATACCGAGGATAGCAGGTTCAAACCCAGTCCTGGCCAAACTGCAACAAAAAAATAGCCGGGTGTTGTGGCGAGCGCCTGTAGTCCCAGCTACTCGAGAGGCTGAGGCAAGAGAATACCTAAGCCCAAGAGTTGGAGGTTGCTGTAAGCTGTGTGACGCTGCCACGGCACTCTATCGAGGGTGATAAAGTGAGACTCTGTATCTTAAAAAAAAAAAAAGAAAAGAAAAAAGAAAAAACTGAGGCAAGAGGATCGCTTGAGCCCAAGTTTGAGGTTGCTGTGAGCCAGAATGCCACAGCACTATACCCAGGGAGACAGCTTGAGACCTGTCACACACACAAAAAAGCTGGGTGTTGTGGCGGGTACCTGTACAGTCCCCAGCTATATGGGAGGCTAAGGCAAGAGAATCACTTGTGCCTAAGTATTTGATGGTGCTGTGAGCTATGATGCCACGACACTTTACTCAGGGTGACAAAGTGAGACTCTGTCTCAAAAAAAAGAAAATTATAACCTACCGAAGAATCCATGAATTCACACTGACATAAATGAATAAACAAATGGGGGGGAGTTCCTTTTTATCATAAAAGCCATCTAATAAAGGTAGAAAGAATGATCAAATTAGAAAATCACTATTCAATAACTATCATTGACATTAAGTGACTCAGGAAAGAATCATCAATGGATGCTAAAACCAGTGGGTGGAAGTTTGAGGAGTAACTGAATATTTACATAGTCTCCAAGTATCTCCCCTATAAAGATACTTATGAATTAAAAAGGATAAAATAAATAGTAAGTTAAGGCCTGGTGTGGTGGCTCACACTTGTAATTCTAGCACTCTGGGAGGCTGAGGTGAGAGAGTACCAAAATCTCTCTTAAGTTCAGGAGTTCAGGGCCAGGCTGACCAAGAATGACACTCCGCCTCTACTAAAAACAGAAAAATCAGCCAGGTGTTGTGGTGGGCACCTGCAGTCCCAGATATTCAAAAGACTAAGGCAGGAGGACCACGTGAACCTAAGAGTTTGAGGTTGTTGTGAGTTAGGCTGATGCTGTGGCACTGTAGCCTGGGCAATAGAGGGAGACTGTCTCAAAAAAAAAAAAAGAGTTCAGGAAAAATGACATACATGCACATATATAAGACTGAAAGAGAGAAATGAAAAGGATAGAACAAATGTAGTAAAAATGTTAATCTGGGAGAAGAGTACCTGAATATTCTTTGCACTACTATTGCCATTTTTTTGTAAGTCTAACTATGTCAAAAACTTTTTTAAAAAGTGAGGCTTCAGGTCATTGAACCTATCAGAGAGTACCAAAATCTCTCCATTTAGGTCTCCTATTCATGTTACTACAATAAGGCATTCATGCAAAGCAGCTAGCTGGCACCTTGTTGTTTATGAAGCCGCTCCAATTCAGTCCTGAGATAGTACATCTTTTTCTGGCGGGCTTCCCGGTCACTCTTTAGTTTTTCCCTCTCTTCAATAACCTGCAAAGTACAAAATGTTAAGAGAGTCCTACATCCTCCAACATTCTCCCTTTTTTATTTCTCTCTTCCAAAAATCCTTGTGCTAGACGCTATCTGAATGTAAGGCTCCAAATGCTGCAGGCAAAGGCTCTGACTTTACAATCAAAGTGAAATTTCACTCCCATTTAAGTTTCAGGATAGAATTATCCTTCTTTTCAGAATTACACTGCCCAGAAAGTATTGTTTTTATGCAGCACTGAAAGCAACTGTTAGATAGTGACCCCAAAGGGAGCCATGGAGAAGGGAATTAATGTGTGTTATGAGTGAAGCATGGTATTATTTACATTTTATATTTCATGTTATTTAATCTTAATCCTACAACATTCTCCCTATTTTACAGCAGGAAAACTGAATTGTATGATATTAAGTAATTTATCCAAAGGTAAGTCTATAAGAATATATTTAAAATCCAGGTATATCTACCCTAAAGCTCATCATCTTTCAACTATATTACTTTCACATAATGTAAAGAAGCAAATTTGGCTTGTCTGTAACAGGCTAATGTACAATAACAGATCTATATATTATCAGTCCTGACTTAAGTGCTAGGCTTTTAAAGGGAAAGTAAAGAGACCCTACTCCCCTTTCCCCCAAAAGGCTTAAAAACTAAAGAGAAGTTCAAGGTAACAATCAAAAATTAAGAGGAACATTTTTTGTCTTAAAGATTAGCTAAATTTTTTAACTGGAAAAAAGTAAGATTATCCGTCTAATTTCTCCTTTTTAATTTTCTTCTCAGGTCTGAATATTTTATGAGCTAATCAAATTTATAAACATTACATTTTTATGTTCCTAAACAAAGTGACTTATTATCTATTAAGGACCCTTAAAATTTACAATATGTGTTAATCTTTCCATTCAAAATTCTCCTATTCCGGCTCAGCACCTGTAGCACAGCGATTACAGCACCAGCCACATACACTGAGGCTGGTGGGTTCGAACCCATCTCAAGCCAACTAAACAACTATGACAACAACAACAACAACATAACCAGATGTTGTGGTGGGTACCTGTAGTCCCAGCTATTTAGGAAGCTGAGGCAAGAGAATGGCTTAAGCCCAAGACTTTGAGGTTGCTGTGAGCTGTGACACCACAACACTCTACCAAAGGCGACAGAGTGAGACTCTGTCTCTTAAAAAAAAAAAAAAAAAAAAAAATTCTCTTATTTCTTATTCCTATATAATTTTCACCTACCGCTCTAAATTATCAGAATTATGACTAGGGAGGCCACTGCTCCCTTTCCAGTCTGAAAAGCCAATGAACCTTGATAATATAAAAACTGCTTTTCAAAAAGTCTCATAAAAATACGTTATTGTTAATCCTGGCCTCTACAATCACAAGGAAAGCTTATTTCTTGGTTTGCTCTACTTATCAAGCAACACATAATTATTTACCCTTAATTCCCATAATCATTATAGGAGAATGATCTAAAACTCAAACGAATGAAATAGGTTTACTGATTCTCTTTCACCCAAACCAATTTTGGTTCCTCACTGCATGATGTCATATTTAAGACTCTAAGGCTCCCAACTCCTACCCAGTGTTCTAAGCCAATTACTATGAATAGAAAAATAAACTTAAGAAAAAATTCTAGCAATCACAATAGGATCTAGAGCCAGACTTTTGTTTAATCTAATGACAATACATGAGAAAAACAGAAGAGCTATTATCTGCATTCCTTAGGATAACAGCAGCCTCCCAAGAACTTAAGGTGAAAGGGCCTTACAAATTTCTAGCACCATCTAAAAGACAAATACAAATTTATGGTGGACAATTCAGGTATAGAATATGCAAAGCTAACATTCACCTTCTGCTTCTGGGAAGCACGGTTCTTCTCATCAGAGATCTTCTCCGGATTGTATCTTATGAGTGATGGGATAGACACCTGGACAGGCACTTGGGCTGCAGGAATTGAGCCTAGCACCGACTCCTCCTGTTTAGGCTCATCAGGAGTAACAGTGGGGATCACACGGAGGTTAGGACGGCTACGAGTAGCTTGTTTGGTTACTGGCATTATCCTGTGTGGTTCAGCTAAAGGGTGATTTGATGGCTGAGAGGTGGGGTATATGGGCCATCTTGAAGCTGCATATGCCATGTAATGCCTATAGGCATCAAAAGAAGCAGGGGGAATGGCAGGTCCCTGGTAGTTTGGAGGTATTCGTGCTGCAGAAAACTGAGAGGCCCGTGGCATATGAAACTGAGATAAAGAAGCAGAATGTGGAAGTCTCACTGGGGCAGATGGGGCTGATGGCAACATGCACCTGACTGCAACAGAAGACTGAAACCCACTGCCAACCACCTCTGCTCCTGAAATATGACCCATTGAATGGTCAGACTTTAAGAATGGGGGGCTATTTTTTGTGAGTAGGTAAGGATCCACAGGGGAGGCTGGGTGTGGATGGGACACCTCTGGGGAATGAGTATTGCTATGGTGTGCATCCCTGCTTTCCAGTCTGTGGGGATCTGAGGAACGTCGATCTGCTGAGAAACGGTGATCAACTGAGGAACAGCGGTCAGTCGAAAAATGTCGGTCAACTGAAGAACGGCGGTCAGCTGAGGAGCGTAATGAAGGCTTCTTGCCATGAAGTCGTTCCTGAGTGCGCACAGCCAGTTTACTAATCTCTGCTACCCCGATATCCAGCCCTACAGTCTTGAGCAAGTCATGAATCTTAGCATATTCAGGATTGGTCTCTTCTAATGATTCTAGCTTTACAGCTGGGGCTGAAGAGGGCAGAGAGTTTGCCTTCTGCCTCACAACTTCACTCTCAGAGCTCCCAACAGACTTTGGTACGGATTCTACCTTTAAATCCTCTTCTTCATCCCCATAGAGAAATTTCTCTTCATCCTCAATGTCAGGAAAGCTACGTCGTCTTTTTTCCTGTGTACTGGTAGAATCAGCCAGCATGCTAAGAATGCGGGAGAAGCCACTGCCATCCTGGCTAGCTCTCTCATGGGGCAGTAAGAAGTCTGTGTGTCGCTCAGGTCCCTCAGCTTTCAAATCCAATTTTTCCTTGTGGCACAGAAAACCTTCAAATTTTTCTCTGAGAGGACTGTTGTCTTTGGGCATCCCAGGAAGGGGACCCCATTGATAGAGGTTGCTCTGAGGTTCTTTCAGGGTAGTCTCTACCACAGTCCCCTTATTTTCAATCTCTGAGGCAAAAGCAGCAATAGCACCACTTAGTGGAATAGATGAGTGTCCAGAATAGAGGGGGTGATCCTGGCTGGAGATGGTACTGCTGGAAAAATTCTCAAGCTGCAAAGACAAAAACAACTGATTTAGCCCTTATGCAAAATCTTAGAACCCTAGTAATTGAGAAAAATACTTAAATACTTTGTTCTTCTCACTTAATAGGGGAGATATGAGTATGGAAAAAAGGGAGGTAAAATATCCTTAGAGGGTTCAAGATATGGTCCTCATGTCTCCAGATGTCTTTGCTATAGCAAAGAGAAATAGGAAAAGGCAGATTAAATAGAATTCTGACCTTTGCTTCTTTGCTACAGTCTTTATCAAAGAATCTGAATTCAAAAGGATGTTAAAGATCTCCTAGCTTTTTCCTTCTCTATGGATCCCCAAAAGGAAAACACACACACAAAAGCAGACCAGCATTAGCTGAAAGGGGAAAGGAAGCTCTGGAACCCTAATTGATCAGTCTTGCCTTGTTTTCCTTTGTGCCTTTACTTTTTTTTTTCCCCAGAAGTCTTTAGCTCTTAATAGGACTGCTACAAACTAGTAATTTTGCCTAAACATTTTTTCATTGTTGAGTAAAAAATATCAAAGCCCAGAATGGTGAGGTAAATTGTCTAAAAATTACACAATAAGCTGGTGGCAGAGGTGGGTCCAAAATCAGAATTATCTGATTTCTTGTCTAGTGTCCTCCAATTCAAATTTTTGTCTTTTCTCTGAGGAAACTGAGATCACCTCCTCCTTTTGCCCTTAGAAGCTTCCTTTCCAGAAAACCTATATTCAAAAATTCCTACCAGCTATCTGATATTAGGAAAAAACTTAGATATGGGAGTGGCACCTGTGGCTCAAAGGAGTAGGGCGCTAGCCCCATATACTGGAGGTGGCAGGTTCAAATCAGGCCCCGGCCAAAAAAACTACAAATGAAAAAAAAAAGACACTCTCTAAAATGTCTAGTTAGAAAACCTAACGTAGGTCAATGTAAGTTCTCTAGTGATATATAATAAGGCCTATAGTTTCATTTAGAGAGTCTCATAAGATACTGCTCATAGGTATAACAATGTTGGCCTAGTATATGTTACAAACATACCATAAGGGACACAGTCCCCAGGGAGGTAACCAGGGTTTAAGATAGCAGAGGGACTCATAAGATACCCTACAACAGTGGTTCTCAACCTTCCTAATGCCGTGATCCTTTAATACAGTTCCTCATGTTGTGGTGACCCCAACCATAAAATTATTTTTTTTGCTACTTCATAACTGTAATTTTGCTACTGTTATGAACTGTAATGTAAATATCTCATATGCAGGATGGTCACAAGCGACCCCTGTGAAAGGGTTGTTTGACCCCCAAAGGGATCGCAACCCACAGGTTGAGAACCACTACAGAGATAAGCAGCAGAGACCTGCATAGAAGGCTCCATGTCCACCTCAATTCGCTTCTTCAGAATGGACTTCTTGGGCATCACAGATACTTCGTCAGGCCGATGCAAAGAATATCCTGGTTCTGATGCTGTTAGGACACCTGACAAGCCAGGGATGGAACAACTAGTGCCACCACCATCAACTCCCACCAGCTCCTGACTCAAGCTCCTGCTTCTCTCCTCCTCTTCCTCTCGCTTTCGCCTTGCAAGATCCAGCTCTCGAAACTCAGGGTCTAGAAACCTAGGGCTTGGGCTTCGTCTACGCTGTCGATAATTCCGAGTCCCTGATGTAAAACTTGGGTGATCCCCTCCCATGCTGTGTATCTTCTCTGTGTCATCATAACGGGGTCTTTTGGCCTCTCGACTCCTCTCCTCAGATCGTACAGAGTAGGAGCCTTTGAGTTTTTCTCTATTTCGTTCTGCTCCCCGCAACAGTTCCTCATGACAACTGATATGGGGACTATAATTAGATCGATGCAGGAAAGTTTCTCTTGTTCGGTAGTCCTCATCAAGTTGTCCCAAGAAGGGACTGAGAGGCTCCTCCTCCTGGGAAATGTATCTTTCAAGACCCCGAGAGCATTGAGAGCTTCGAGTGAAAACAGAATCATCAGTCAGATCATCCCTGAGGAAAGAGACAAGCATCACTGAGTATCATGGACTTGAAAAGAACAAGAGTAGACAAGGCAAAGAGACTGAAATTTGGCAAGAGAGCTATACAACACTTGTAGCAAAAGACTATATAATCCTGAAGTCCAAGAACAGATCTACATACAATATGCAAAACATTTCCACTCCCTTTCCCCAAGGTTGTAAGCAGCTTCGGTCTCTCTAACCAAGGGATGATATTACCAATATATCTAGACAGAAAGCTTAAGCTAATTTTACAGACTACACTTTGGGGATGTAGAGTATCATGCAAGTTATACAACTTCGCATTAGCTAAAATCTAGCTTTTTGCTGCTAGAAGTGTGGTATGGACCAGTAGCATTAGCATTATCTGAGAACATTTTAGAAATACAGATTCTTAGGCTCTATCATAAGCCTACTGAACCAGAATCTGCATTTTTAACAAGATCACCAGGTGATATGTCCACCACTTAGAGAAATACCCAGTTCAGATCAATGATTTTTTTTTTTTTTTTTTTTTTAGAGACAGAGCCTCAAACTGTCGCCCTGGGTAGAATCCCATGGCGTCACAGCTCGCAGGAACCTCCAACGCCTGGGCTCAAGCAATGCTCCCGCCTCTGCCTCCCGAGTAGCTGGGACTACAGGAGCCCACCACAACGCCCAGCTATTTTTTGTTGTAGCCATCATTGTTGTTTGGCAGGCCCGGGTTGGATTGGAACCCGCCAGCTCAGATGAATGTGGTTGGCACCTTAGCCACTTGAGCCACAGGCGCAGAGCCCAGATCAATGGTTTTTAAGCTGCAGCCCACAGATTCTTGAGTTCTCAGTTATCAAAATAAGTGCTAGAAAAGCAGAACCAGCAATGCTCTGGGCCTTCCACCGTATTTAAATCCTACTAGCCCCAACCCTATGTCTGTGTAATACTTCATTTGAAAAAAAGGGTTTTGGCTCGGCGCCTGTGGCTCAAGTGGCTAAGGCGCCAGCCACATACACCTAAGGTGGCAGGTTCAAATCCAGCCTGGGCC